GTTTTTATTAATTATGAACCCCAAATAGCGGACTTGTTCCATGTAGAAATCACATTTTTCAGCACGTAATGTAAACCCAAAATCTGCTATGCGTCTGAGAACCATATCTACCTTCTTCTCCAGGTCAGCATAGTCTGCACCCGTGATTAGTATGTCGTCAAGATAGGCCGCAGTACCAGGAATATCTTGTAGCATAGTATCCATAACTTGTTGAAAGATTGAAGGGGCAGTCTTTACTCCAAACGGAAGTCTATTATATCGAAACAACCTTTTATGAGTGTTTATTGTCAAGTAGTGTTTGCACTCTTCCGCTACTGGAATCTGTAAATATGCTTCTGATAGATCTAGTTTTGCAAAATACTTACCCCCGTTAAGTTTCGCAAATAAGTCTTCTGGTAATGGTAAGGGGTACTGATGAGCTTTAAGTGCGTCATTTAATCCAGTGGAATAGTCTGCACATAATCGAATACTTCCATTAGGCTTTTTAACAATTACTATTGGAGCTGCCCAATCAGAAAAGTTCACTGGTTCTATAATTCCACTTTTTTGCAGTCGTTCTAATTCTTGTTCAACAATCGGTAGCGCTGCGTAGGGCACAGGTCTTTTGGGTCGAAAAACGGGAGTAGCACCAGGCTTGAGGATTAACAAGGCTTTGGCCTTCGTACATTCTCCCAATTCTTCTTTAAAAACGTTGTGATGTCTTTGCGGCACTGTACTTTTCTGGTTACAACTTGAGGAATTGTCAATAGTCACTCGTCTGCAGATGCTATTAATAGAATGATCTGCTAGCTTAAGAGTTTCTATTAGATCAAGTCCCAATAAGTCTAGTCCTGGGCTTTCCGTGAGATATACTTTCACATTCTTCTGTACATTCCCTTTTTTAACTGGACAGTATATCTCTCCAACAATATTTAACTTTCCTCCAGATGCACTGTGTGCTGAGTTGTAGGGAGCACCGAGGGTTTGCCAATATGACTCCATGTTTTGCGGCTGATAAGTGAAATATCTGAAGCAGTGTCAAGCTGTAGACGGGCACGACGTCCATTAATCTCTAAGGTCACATATTTTCTTCGATTATGTTCTGTTCTGGTATGTGCTACCATTATTCTATTGATTGATGAACAGTTTTTACGTCTTCGGAAATGTACACTTGATGAACGACGGTGCATATTCTTCTTACAACATGTTTCTTTATGTCCTTTGAGCTGACATCAAGTGCACCGGTAGTTTTTGTATGGGCAGAACCTTTTGTAATGCAGCTCTCCGCAAAACCAGCATGCGGATGGAGGCTTCTTAATGGTTGCGTTCAGCTTTTGCTTCCCACTTACTGCCTGTACATAAGGTAGTCGATCATTATTTTCTACCATTGAAGTGTCATGCTTCAAGTTCACCAGATGCTGACATTCAGTAGTCACTTCTTGAAGGGTGATATTTAGACACTGTTCAATTTTACTTAGAATTCTGGTTCTGATGTCGGCATCTTCTGAAGACTGTAAGCTGCATACGAAAACAAGACATTTGAATTGGTCTTCTGTCATTGCTGATAGTTTAAAGCGCTCACATTCACGATTTACTATGCTAGCATGTTGCACCCAGTCATCGTTGCCAGCTTTTACTATCTTCAGGCACTGATATCGAATATTGAACAAGGAAGACTGTTCACCAAAAATTTGCGACAAAATTTTAACTGTTTCTTCGAATGAAATGTCTCTTGGGTTCTTGGGCAGAATGTAATTAGTGTATCGTTCATGTTCAATGGTCCCCAGCTTTCGTAGTAGCACTCTGACCTTGTCGGCATCATCAAACGCTTCTAGGTCAACATTAAATACATCTTCATATTTCTTGTACCAAGGTTCGAATGTTACACCAGCCAAACCATCAAAATGAAATTCGTGAATGGAATCAATGATACAATCAGCATGCGATTTAGCAGAAGCATCTGTAAGTCCATTCTTATTAAGGTTCATTTGCTGGGTTAGTGTTTCCAGTATGCGAATCTGGAATTGTTCAAAGCGTTTTTCATGGCGCTCTAAAAAGCTTCAAATTGGTCAAAGGTAATAAACATCTTGATAAATTAACCCGCCGCCAGTTGTTATATCTAGAGCCTTGATTCTTAATATGCCGCGAACTACTTGACTACTTGAACGATAGAACCCGCAACGTCGCAGAGAAGACAAAGACTGGTAAGCAGAAAGTTTATTGCCCCGAACAATGTCAAAATATAGCACAGAAATCTCGTGTATTTATAGTTATTGGCTGAAAATAAATTATCATTTAGGTCAACCAATAAGCACATAAGTATCAAACTAATCCGTCCAATGGAGAAGCTCCACGTTGGCATTTCTAGAACATTCCCCTAGCCGTGATTGGATGGAATGTCTGCGGCTCTTCCTGGGCTTCCTCGACTTCACCTGTGGACCATCCTCACAGGGGTCATGGATGAGTACAACTGAGGAGTCTTGTACTTAGACGAGACAGTCTTCCAAGTTTTCCGTGGTGGTTTGGCTTTAATTGACTCACTCACTCGTTATCAGTGAATCACAATGCAGACATCATAAATGAATAATTTACTACAGAATATTAAAACAATTTACAGAAACCTACAGTTAGGTTTCCTGTATCACCAAAACAATACTATAAGCTCTCACATAAAAAAAAGGAAACACACACATCCTTAGCTATGCTCTGAATTGTATAAAATCTAAATTGCATGAAGTAATCGTTTCTTGTAAATTAGCTTATAAACCATATTATATTCTATGTATATTTGCACGACAAACAAGTTTATCGATTTTGGTCATTTTAACGGCTAAATTACAGTACACTTGAATAAAATGCTTAATAAAATACGAACTAATTGTCATGAGGCTTTGAATTCTGCATGAAATTGAATAGTAATTATCATAAACATGATTAGTTTGTCACTAAAGCACAGTTTTACCGATAGTCCTTATCATATTAAAATACATGTTGAATACTTTCAATTACCGTGAATCTTTATGAAAACATGGTCTATAAGAGATTCAGTCAGTCACAACGTAGAACTTCGTACGTACGTACATCAGTTCGAGTTGCCATACCACATTAACACAGAGATGCAGTTGTCCATTCAAATCCCATAACGGTAGAAGTAGTAAAAGTATAAGCAGTAATCCGAAAGATTAGGGTTTGAAGATGTTATTTAAGGAGCATAATGTAATGAAATAAATTTGGAAAGAGAAAAAGGATACAGACATGAAGAATTCAGATTAGAATTTGGTAGAACACAAAGAGAGGATGCACCTTCGCCATTGCAAACAATTTGGAACCATGTCATTCAAGGTCTCTAACCATCGGTTGTTATCATCTCGCGGATGCCAACCAGGTAGTCTACACCTACCAACATGGCTCAGTCCAGTTGTCAGTGACTTCATTGATTTGTGCCACGTTTTGGTCTGGCCACCCCTAGCTTTCTTCCAACCTACTCCTACACCATAAAACATCGCACAGTCGGTGGTTGGTTGGGCATACGTAACACGTGTCCCAGTCATCTCAACTGACCAAGTTTCACTACTTCATCAATCGATTTGCCATCATTACCTAGTACCCGTTTCCTAACAACTGCATTACTTACTCGGTGGTCCCATGGTATACTAATAATGCTTCGAAGACACCTATGATCGAATGCTAGTAGCCTATGAATATCCTCTTCTCTTACCGGCCATGTTTCACAGTCATAAAGTAGGACGAAACGAACTCCTGCACAATAAACCCGTCCTTTGGTTGCTAGACGGATATCTCGCCTACGCCATAAGTGACACAAGTTGGTGAAAGCTAGACGAGCCTTCTGTATCCATGCTGAGGTTTCGTCACACACCAGACCACAAGAGCTGATGAGACTCCTAAGATAAGTGAAGCGGTCAACACGCTCAACTACTTCACTGCCTCCCTATCATTAGTTCAGGTGCCGATGCAACCCAATCCTGAAGTAACATTTTGCAATTCGAGGTGGAGAATCGCATCTCGAACATGCCTGTATTGTTGCTTATAGTGGTTAGAAGACTATAAGAGATCACTACTAACATGTAGAATCAAATAATCGATAATAGTAGTATTGTGGTGTGGGTTACTGATGTGCACATAAGTAGTATACGGTGATGGTCGGGCATTGAATATATTTCAGTTGAAGATCGATAAGGAGAGAACGGGAACGGCACGCAATTGTTAAGAAAATGCATGAACAATTATAATCTGAGACTATGGACGGATATTTGCAGAAGAAACAGTCAAATTGAGACAATTGATTGTTATTTTGCAAATTAACTGTTCACTATATGGTCCTCATATTTTAATAAGATATTCTGTATTGTGGTGCTAAAATACATTCAAATGTCCCCATTCGACTTCTGGTCACTACATTTGGCATCACTGTCAACCAGGAGGGGGAAGGGTGCTGTTCTGTGTACACCGCTGCGGGTTTGGAGCTGAGGTGCTAGCTAAGACAGTTTGGTGATGTCGAGTGGAATGTTCTGGCAGGCTGGCGTTGGCTGTAGCAGGAGCTGTTGACGGAGAGGAGCAGTAGGACGTGCATTTGCTGGGCGGACATCGGATGTAGATGGCTAAACAGGCCGGTGAAGCACGGGCGTTGAACGTCCCAGGTGCCGCGTAGATTTCGGTGCCCCAGCAGGTCGACGGAGCTATGGAGGTCAGCGTGCCGCAGACTCGACATTCTGGAACAGACTGCAGTGAAAGAAGAAAGTGGCATGGCGAAGAAAACCACCACATGAACGAATGCTTTCAAGAGGGGACGAGTGTAGTGTGGCCTACTTATATCCACATAAGTAGTATATGGTGATGTTCAGACATAGAATGTATTTTGGCAGAAGATCAATAAGGAAAGAACAGGAACAAAACGTAATCGGTATTAAAAATGCAACCAATCATTATCATTTTCGTTCACACATCATACTATTAACCAATAAGAATGAAAGAAATAACTTGTGATAGTTTTTCTTTATAATTTATACATGAATAGAAGAAATAGTTTCAACTTTACTATCTAATAATTGATTATCATTATTATTCTCCTTCTTCATTTTCATTAATAGTCGATTAGGTAATGGTAATGCATTAGGATGTGTATCTAAACGAGTCCATTTTTCACTTAATCTCCATAATAATTCTAATATTTGATGTCTATTATCAATCGTTTGATTCATTGTTTGTTTTGAAGAAATTGATAAACGTAAATCTTGATAAATTGGAGCACAATTAACCATTGATTGATCAATAGTTGGAAAATCAACTGTTGCACAATATAAAGTAGTATTAGATGTTTTACGACTAATTAAATGTGGACATATATCCATTAACATATAAATTAATTTTAATATTCCTTTAGTATTATTATATTTCTCATCTAGATCAGGAGTTAAACCACGTGTAACAATAGGATTTGTAACTAGGATGGATGCTTTATTACCTTGAATTGAAGAATTACGACGTGCAAGTTCACTATAATAATAAGAAGAAAGAAAATTGTTATTATTATTACTTTTACAGTAATCTATTTGAAATCTGAAAGTACTAAACAATACTGATAATGATCATGTACTCAATAGTGACTAACTTGAAGAAGGAATTCTAGGAGTTCTAGTAAGAAGCCGTGATTAATGAACCTTAAGGTTGTCAGGTATGAGATAGTTGCATACCGAACACAATCGAAAATGGTCACGTAATATTATGGATTGATTTAAGTTAAACATTAAAATTGTTCTATACCGGTTCGGTGATCTCGAGGTCAAGTATTTATGCGTGAGACCGATGGTGACGGGTTTGATTCCCCCATGTTAAGTCGTGGATGCGCACTGACGGGGAGTTCCATGCCAGGACGAAACGGCCATCTAATGCTTCTTGGTTTTCAATAGTGGTCTAACATTGATCGGTTTATGGTTTCAATGAAACAGGATATTATTAATATATTACTTTAGCTGCATCAATGCTTGTGATGGTGGTATAAATGATACGATCAAGCCGAGTAAATTGAAAATTAGACCAACTTATTTCAATTTGGATCATACTTGAAACAGTCACGACGTTGGATAGTGGTTAGCAGTGGAATCCAGTTTGACGCGCGTTCCATCCTATTTGGGACTCGTCACCTGGATGTACCTGAACCTCAGAGTTGATGTTCACTTCGGGATTCGAACTCAGTAGCTAAGTGGATAACGCGGTGGCGTTTGAAGTGAAAAGTACTGGGCTGGAGTCCCAGAGTGAATATCAAATCTGAGATGCATGTACATCCATCTGACAAGTCCCAAATTGGACGAAACGCAAGTCAAACTGGATTCCACTGCTAGCCACTATCCACCTTTGCTTATAAAGCTTGTGACTTCAGGCAATATCGAAGCAGTCCGCTCAGGATGCATACATGCCAACAAGAGACTGATCAATTGCAGTTCTAAGTAACAATGGGAAGATACAAGTAAACAACACCAAGTGAAGTCACGACGTTGGTTTTCTTATAAAAAAAGTTGAGTATACAACATATTACTTAAAAAAGTTCTGTTTTATACTTGTAAAAACTTACTTACTTACTTACGCCTGTTACCCCTTGTGGAGGAGCATAGGCCGCTCACCAGCATTCTCCATCCAACTCTGTCCTGAGCCTTCCTTTCCAGTTCTTTACAGTTGCTATTCATCCTTTTCATATCGGCTTCTATTTCTCGGCGTAGTGTGTTCTTTGGCCTTCCTCTTTTCCGCTTCCCTTCCGGATTCCAAGTTAGGGATTGAGTCGTGATGCACATTGGTGATTTCCTCAATGTATGTCCGATCCACTTCCAACGTCTTTTCCTAATTTCCTCTTCAGCTGGAAGCTGGTTTGTCCTCTCCCATAAAACGCTGTTGCTGATAGTATCCGGCCAGTGGATGTTGAGTATTTTGCGTAGACAACTGTTTATAAATACTTGTACCTTCCTGATGATGGTCGTAGTAGTTCTCCACGTTTCAGCTCCATACAGTAGGACTGTCTTGACGTTCGTATTAAAGATTCTGACCTTGAAATTGGTTGAGAGTTGTTTTGAGTTCCATATGTTCTTCAACTGTAGAAATGCTGCCCTTGCTTTGCCAATCCTCGCCTTTACATCTGCATCAGATTCTCCTTGTTTACCAACGATGCTTCCCAGGTACGTGAATGTTTCCACCTCTTCCAGAGTTTCGCCATCAAGTGTGATTGGGTTGGTGTTCTCTGTGTTGCATTTGAGAATCTTGCTTTTTCCTTTGTGAATGTGGAGGCCTATCGATGCGGAGGCTGCTGCTACATTTGCTGTCTTCATCTGCATTTGGTCGTGTGTATGAGAGAGGAGGGCTAGGTCATCTGCGAAGTCCAAATCATCTAATTGATTCTGAGAGGTCCATTGTATTCTGTATTTCCCTTCAGATGTCGAATTCTTCATAATCCAGTCAATCACTAGAAGGAAGAGGAATGGGGAGAGTAGACAGCCTTGTCTGACTCCGGTCCTTACTGGAAATGCATCTGTCAGCTGTCCTTCATGCACCACTTTGCACTGTAGTCCATCGTATGAGTTTTGGATAATGTTGACGATCTTCTGAGGAACTCCATAGTGTCGAAGAAGTTTCCATAATGTTCTCCTGTCCACGCTGTCAAACGCCTTCTCATAGTCAATAAAGTTGACGTATAGTGATGAGTTCCACTCAACTGATTGTTCAACGATGATCCGTAGTGTCGCAATCTGGTCTGTGCACGACCGATCCTTACGGAATCCAGCCTGATGATCCCTCAGTTCGGCGTCTACTGCGTCTTTCATCCGATTCAGCAGCACTCTGTTGAAAACTTTTCCTGGTACTGATAACAAACTGATACCTCTGTAGTTCTCACATTGGCTCAGATCTCCTTTCTTTGGTATCTTGATGAGATATCCTTCTTTCCAGTCCGTTGGCACTTGTTCCTCTTCCCAAATCTTTTTGAATAGAAGGTGAAGCATATTTGCAGTTATTTCAATGTCTGACTTCAGTGCTTCAGCTGGTATATTGTCAGGTCCTGCCGCCTTCCCACTTTTGATTTGTCTGATGGCCATCTTGACTTCTTCGATCGTTGGTGGAGTGACATCTATTGGAAGGTCTGTGTGGGCTGCTTCGATGTTCGGTGGATTCAATGGGGCTGGTCTATTCAGCAGTTCCTCGAAGTATTCTGCCCATCTTTTCCTCTGTTCTTGAATCTCAGTGATTGTTTTTCCTTCTTTGTCTTTGACTGGTCTCTCTGGTTTGCTATATCTCCCTGCCAATTTCTTCGTTGTATCATATAGTTGTTTCATATTTCCTTCCCTTGCAGATTTTTCCGCCGTCGTTTCTAGTTCTCCCATGTAGTTCTGCTTGTCGGCTTTAATGCTTTTCTTCACTTCCCTGTTTGCTTCTGCGTAGTCTGCTTGTGCTTTGACTTTCTCTGCTCGTGTTCGGCTGCTGTTAATTGCTAGTTTCTTGTTCTTCCTTTTTTGAATTTTGTCCAGGGTTCCCATAGAGATCCATTCCTTGTGATGATGCTTCTTAGGACCAAGAACCTTCTGACACGTTGAAGTTAGTGCTTCTTTTATCCCTTTCCAGTTGTCCTCCATAGTAGTTTCTTGTTCATTCAGTAGATCCTGTAGAGCTTGGAACCTGTTGTTGAGAGTTATCTTGAATTCATGGAGCTTGTCAGTATCTCGAAGGAAGGCTGTATTAAACATTTGTAGTGCTGTTTGTCCAGTTGTCCAGTGTTTCTTAAGCTTCAGTCTCATCTTGGCCACAACCAGGTGGTGATCTGAAGCTATGTCAGCTCCTCTCCGGGTTCTCACATCTTCTATTGATCTTCAGAATTTTTTGTTGATACAGATGTGATCAATCTGATTCTCTGTGGTGTGGTCCGGTGAAATCCATGTAGCTTTGTGTATGCGTTTGTGTGGGAATATTGTGCCGCCTATAACCAATTTGTTGAAAGCACATAGGTTTGCAAGTCTCTCCCCATTTTCATTTCTCTCTCCTAGTCCATGTCGTCCAATTATATCTTCATATCCTGTGTTGTCCACTCCAACTTTAGCATTTAGATCTCCCATAAGGATGGTGAGGTCCTTTCGTGAGCACTTTGCTATAATTGATTGCAGCCTTTCATAGAACTGATCTTTATCATCGTCGTTGCTATCATTGGTGGGTGCATAACATTGGATAACGTTCATTGTGATCCCTTGCTTCTTTGTTCTGAATGATGCTTTGATTATCCTGGGTCCATGAGATTCCCATCCCACAAGTGCATTTCGTGCTTCTTTGGACAGCATTAGAGCAACTCCCTGAGTGTGTGGAGCATTTTCCCCTTCGTGACCGGAGTACAGCAGCATCTCTCCTGTACCTAGCCTTTGTTGTCCAGTTTGTGTCCAATGGGTTTCGCTGATTCCGAGTACTGCCAATTTGTATCTCCTCATTAACTCCGCCTGTAGCTCTTCTAGAGTTACTGCCGGTCCCAAGCCCGGGTAAAGGAGGAGGGTTGGGCATGGGGTTAGCGACCCCATCCCGTAGAAAAGCTAACTCGCTAAAAAAACGCTAACCAGAAAAAATAATTCAAACCATTTAAACTCTGCCCTGGGAGTTGAAGGAATAATGACGTCTCATGATGAAAGCCGAAATTCTTCGGAAGTCACGAGGCCGATGCACCTTCTAACAACCAGAGCAACACTCTTTATAGGTACTTGTAAAAACTGGACGCCTAATAATGGGTCATCATTGTCTCGAAGGATTGTTAACTTCTGTCGGTAATATAAGGTAGGTTACATTGATGTCTGTGAACGTCCTAGATCGGAGTGATGATATTTCTTCAATCTGTGTCACTGTCTTGAAACACCAACTTTGGTAGCTTGAAAATGTTTTACGATTGTCGTATTACTGACTCCTATTTACGTCATTATTTGTGGACGCTGCAACTGAGTGTAAAAACTGTAGATAACATGACAAGGTGCCACTAAATAAGAGATGGAAGTAAACGACTGGCACCTTTTCCATTAGTCAGTTATAGACAAATTAAGACTTGTGATATATGTTCATCGATTCAAGTTTTCATCCTACATCAACGCAGTGAAATACCAAAGTGATGAACAAACAGATGTCAATCTGTTAGTCAGTCACAACTCATTAGGTTATGATCCTAAAGATCATGTGACTCAGTGGCTGAGGACGATATTATATAGAATTTAGTGACGATCTCGCTGTTGTTATTTATTGTATTCTGTGTAAGAGGCACATTTTGTTAAATGAGATGAATTTCTTTTAGTTGTTAAGTGAATATTAGAGATGTCCCTCCTTTCTATACAAAAACTATTCGTCTACATTCATAAGTGTACTGACTAAAACTTAGCTTCCTGTTATATACACCCTATAAATATCTCAGTCTTAAATAACTCAGTGGTAACTTTTCAGACTGTGAATTTGGATGATATGTGTTCAAACCCACAAAGAGCAGCATTTCCCTCGGAATTGCAGGTATACTTTGGTGACGAGTATAGACTAGTACGGGAGCTAGATCAAGCAAAGTTTTCTTCGAACTACCACCAAACATCCAATTTGAACTATTTCGTTAGCAAACTGTTCAGAGATGTGATTTCTCAACAGAAATTTCCGTCTGTTAATGAGTTTGGGATGAGACTATAATTTGTGGACGACCTTTGAGTGATCTTGAGGAAATTCATCTACTTACTAGAGTTACGTGAGGGTTATAAATTAGTGTGGGGAATTAGGATTAGTAATGAGGGTTATAGTTTTCATCGAGTTGACATAAGCTATAATACTATTTAGCCATATAGATGAATGAATTTCGCGCTAAAATCCAAGACCTATCTTATATGTGGTCGGTTCGTTTGTAAATTATACTATCCACGAGTTTGGTGGTCGGAGATAGTTGAGAGGACATTCTGCTTGGTATAATCCCTATGTTAGTTGATACCCATCAGCAACGACTTACTTGAGATTTCAGAGAAACTGATATCTCTTGGTGGATTCATAGTCAGGGAAGTTACCTATTGAGCTATTCAAGCCGCAACTAACATCTTGTATGACCAAAATATTTATATTAATTGCTCATTACTATTCACTCAAGGGTTATTCAATGTAAGCGTTGTTGAGTAAATATTAGATAACTTAGCAGTGGGTTTTGAAATTAAACTCATCGGACAATTAGCAGGATATTGAAACACAGTTATTCTTAACATTTCCTCATAATGTTTCTTTCATTTAAATACATTACGATCAACAACAACAAAAACTAATGATCATTGAAGATGATCTGTTATATCCCATGGAGAATTATGAATGGTAACTCTGAGGTCTATTTATGAACCAATATGAAATGTATATTTCCTATTGTATAATTGTTAAGTAACTAAAGTATTCATATCCACGTTACCCTTATTATAATCTTTATTTTGACCTATAGACTATTATTATACGATTTACCATTCTTAAGTTATCCCTAGTCCATTAAGTACTGTTCCCCCTATTCACAGCCACATTTGACCAAAACTTGTACAAATGATATTTTCTATTTTATGGTACGATGTGGTCAGTTTGTTTGGTATATAAACCCAGTATGTTTGAAAATAATGATTCATATTGTAGATGCTGTTATTGATGTTCTAGACTTAACTGGCTGGGCTAGGCAGAAAGCAGGACCGACAAGTAATCAAGACTGCTCAAACGACTTTTGTGTATCATTGGGCGATCAATAAATTCACTGCTCGCTCTCTAATTGGGCGGTCTTATCACATTCATATATATCAACTGGGTACACAAGCAATCGATATAACATGATCCATAAATGTTTTCTAAATAACGACCGTTGCTGCTACCTTGACGTGGTGGTCGGGCTTCCCTATCGTGATGAACCAATCGAGCTATACTGGTTGGAACAATCGTTCCTCGAGGTCCTACCATGCCAGACAGGTCGGTTGAAGAGCGGTAAGACTAAAAGCAGCGAACCGAAGGTCCGAAGGCGAAGTCGTACTTCCGACTGTACAGAGGTGTGACAGCAGTAAGGTGCTTCCTTCAGATAACCAACATAACAGCGATGCTGCTTCCCACAAGGAGGGGTGGGGTTAGAAAAGGTCGACCCTAAAAATGCACACCTCGCCTTATTTCACGGATATCCGTCTCCGGCGGTAAGATCCTTTGAAGAACGGAGCTAACACAAAAACTACCCACAAAAAGGTCGTGTGTGACCGACCTCAAGCAGTTGTCTCTTGGGCACTGCAGTCACGTTCTCAGGTCATTAAGACCACTTCTAACCCAATTTCCTTTTCAGTTACCTCTAGAAGAACCCTTCCACGGTGTGGGCAACCGAGAAGTGTTAACTGCCCTCATACCTCTAACAGCACTCAAGACCACTCTATTCATAAGAAACAACAAAACAACATCAACTGAACATAACCAATGACCAATGACTAGTAAAGAAAATAATAACTTACTCAGCAAACATTAATAAAAACCACTGTGCACGACGATATGCATTCTCTGGTGTATAACTATTTTCATGATCCCAATTAATATTATCTAATGGAAGGGTATATTGTGATGTTTTCGATTGTTTCATTATATTTTCTTGTTCTATATTAGCAGATTTTGTATCAATCACTAAGATAAGTCGTCCATTAGATTCATTTAATCTATTGATGAATAAACGACTTAATAAATAGGTAGCAAAATAATTGATACCTAATTCTTTTTCAAAACCATCATGGGTTAAACGTCGTTTCCCCGATATAATCCCACTAATAGATGATGGAGGTTGTATAATTACAGAATCTAATTGTGAGAAATCTGATAATATACCAGCAGCAAATCGTCGTATGGATAACATACTATCTAATTCTAAATGACGGCATTCAATCATATCAGATTTAACACTAAATTTACGTAATAAATGATCTTTTAATTCTTCACATTTATCCCAATGATTATCAGCTAAGATAAGATGTGAACCTTGTTTAGCTAAATTGTATACTAACTCTCGAGAAATTTTAGCTAAATAAGGAATAAGAGAAAGGAAAGAAATATGGGTCAGAATATGATTATTTTTTTAGAAAATACAAAATAAAACATATATTCAATAGTTGAGATCATGAGTCAATTGAAGCTAGATCACCATGGAAAACCTGGAAGTACTGGACGGCCGTTTCGACCTAGTATTGGACCCTTCAACAGTGCGCATCGAAGATCCCACACTCATTTTTCCATGGTGATCTAGCTTTAATTGACTAATGATCTCAAATAATTAAAATTACTATAATATTCACAAAAACCTCTTCTTATATTATTCAACATATGCTCACTAGTGACTGGCTTCAAGAGGTATTTTCTGGAGTTTTAGTGAGAAGCAGTGACTAGTGGAATTCAACTGGGTCTGTTAGGAGATAGTAACTCACTGAAGACAATCGTGGATGTGTCACTCAATTTCGTGGATTAGTATGTTGGGCGCAACACAAGTACACCTAATGGGAATGCATAATAGTCATGGAAAACATAGAGACTGAAGTTACGAATATAAACCACTGGATCCCAACTCTATGGTCTTTAGAATAGAGATACATGACAATTACTGAATGGCCTGGGTGCGGTGCGCAGAGAGGTTATAGGTGAGCACTTTAGAACACATAAATGCTTATCGGCGTCAGACAATGATAGTTTCTCTTCATTTAAAAGCAGCATTTGACTCTGTAGACCAAGGGGTTCCGTGGCAGTGTCTGTCACTGAAAGGTGTACATCAAAAATACATCAACCTTGTGAAGGCTCCTTACTTGAACAACACCAGTCAAGCCACAGCTTATGGCGAACTGTCATCTCATTTCGCAACCTCAAGTGGTGTCCGACAAGGCTGTCCACTATCCCGATTTTTGTTTAACCTCATCATAAACCTACTTCTGGAAATAACACTCTCGTCGACTGAATTTTCGGGTATTGATCTACCAGGAGGTCCACTTATCTACTTACAATACACAGATGATATAGTCCTGTTTGGTGAAGATGCTGATAAAATGCAGAGTCTTTTGGTAGCACTGAGGAACAATGATAAGATGTTTGGAATGCGTTTCTCCACTTGTTGCTTCACAACTGGCCTGCGTCAACACTGGAACTAAGGATAGGGAGTGAAGTAGTTGAACACGTCAACAACTTCACTTATCTTGGAAGTCTGATTCGTCCTAATGGGTTGGTGTCTGACGAAATCTCAGCACGGATTCAAAAAGCTCGTTTGGCTTTTGTTAACTTACGTCACCTATCAAATAAAGGACGAGTATACTGCGCAACAGTTCGTTCTCTTCTAATTTACGGCTTCGAAACGTGGCCATTAAGAGTAGGAGATACTCGTAAGTTAATAGTATTTGATCACATATGCCTTAGAAATCTTCACCAACTAAGAAGGTTGAGCCACCTGTCACGTATGCCTGAACACCGATTACCACGACGCGTAATGCTGACTAGTGTTGGAGACGGTTGAAAGTTAAGGGTGCTAAAACCAAGATGTAGCATCAGTGTATAAAGTCAATAACTTGTAGTCAGAGACATGTTGGTAGATGCAGACTACTTGGTTGGGATGGGCGTGACTATCGTGACTAATGTTGGAGACTCTAGGTGACATGGTTCAGAATCGATATTAGTGGTGTAGGTGTATGCATTCTTTATCTTCCCTTAAACTGTGAGATCAAAATTGCTTTATACCTTTATTTCTACGAACCAATTCTTTCTTCCTGTATTATATCCTCATAAACAATCTTTCTTTTATATATTACTACAATTGAAGTAACTACTTCTATGAATTTGGTGTTCATCTTGTTGTGCTAATGAGGTATGGCAACTTGGACCGACGTATATATGTGCCTGATCCTACGTTGAAGCTGACTGACTGAGGGGTACCTTTTACTGAATTGAGAGGACAAAAAGCGAACATACTACACTTAAACCGGTCGGTGGGTACGGGAAGTTCACCTGAAGGAGTTAAATAAACGTTGATTGCGAATAGTGTATATAGAGTCTACAATCTTGAATGAACGAATAGCGTATGAACCTGCTTTTTTCACCGGACTATATCAGACTGCATATAATGATGCTGCCCTACTGTTTTGTTCGCTGAGTCTTTAAAATCAAAGCCTCCAGCAGAAGTCCTTTAAAAAACGACCATTCCAGTTCACTGACAATTATGATAATTACAAAGGAAAAAATTGAATTATAGAAAAGTAATTATACATAACAAATTCACTAAACACACATTTATAACTCACAACATGGTTGTGTTATCACAATTGGCTTATTTTGTAGATCTCTTGTTGGTCCATTGTATAATGGTAATTCTACAAATAGTTTGTAACCTAAAAGACCACTCCCGGTGAATGTACAAAATAATCCAAAAGCTTTAAGAGCTGTTTTTAAAGTGATACGCTTTTTAACTGGTGGCAGTGGTCGAACCTGAAATAAACAAATAAGAGATGACTAAGAAATCCGATGTAAACTAAATAAGCACTGAAAATAAAGCTTGGTATATCCTGCCAATTTCAAATCCAATGGATGAGAGTCGTCATAGCATAACGAATGAGCTGGAAAGATGTGGACTACTTGGTTTTTTTACTGAATGACTGGATAGTACTCATTGTGAAATTCAAATTAAAGTCGTAAGCGCACACTGTCAATAAAACCCAAATGACGAGAAAGAAACTGTTTAGCACTCTTGTATTTTTAATGGTCCTCCGAATGATATCAATCCCTTATGAAAACTGTACAAACACTTTATCCAACACTAAGTTAAATAAGAAACCCATGATTTACGGATACTGGAAATCAAAAGCTCTTAGGTTCATGGATGATATTTACCTGTAACTCACTGCTTTGGAGCATTAGTATAAAAACTGATCTCATAACCATATCAAACACCAACTGATTGTCTACAGAATACCCCCTAGTTCACTGGAATATATTGAGATCAATATATTCTATGGATAAACCATTCAATATGAATAATAAATATTCAGAATCATTAGGATAACTACCTTAAAGTATTTAACTAGATCGATTATTCTCTCGTTTTTCATCCATATTTGTCGTTACTGTTGTGTATCTTTACTCGCATTAACTGTTAAAATCACTAGGGAAACCATATAGCTCTTAATTCCTGTTAATTACTGACCGTGATATCTTGTCAACTAGGAATGTATGAGTACTCTATGATGTAACTGATATTCCATTCCTTGAATCAACTGAATGATGTACATACATTAGCTACTACACAAAATAATGAAGGGATTATGTACACACATACAAAACACCAAAAGGTCATTGCCACAAGATTTGTATGTTTAGTGATCAGTTATTGTTTTATGGGTACATTGATATGTCTTTCAACACCAATCCTACATTTGAATTTGTTTGCTTTCCATAAAGGAAGATATGATCAAACTAGATAACTTTCATCACTAAACAATAAAGTCATATTTTGGATGTCTGATCAGTGGTTTAGAGGTTAAGCGTTCGTGCGCGAAACCGAAGGTCTTGGGTTCGAGTCCCACATGCGGGATCGTGGAGGCGCATTGATGAGGAGTTCCATACTAGAACGAAATGGCCATCCAATGTTTTGAGGTTTTCAATGGTAGTCTAACATTGATCCATTCATGACATCAATCTAAGCTCAACAATCTTCATAACCCTATAATGATGAATATGAATGAATGATCAAAAGTAACTAGTTTTAAGATTTCGGGTTAGCGTTTTTTTAGTTAATTGGTTTACTACAGGATGGGGTCGCTAACGCCATGTCCAACCCTCCTTCTTTATCCGGGCTTCGGACCGGCAGTAGCCCCCGAAGGAGCTAAAGGCGGATTATACATTACATATTTCACTTCACAATACGTAGCGTAAGTGAAACAATCTTATTAGCAATATGAATATCCAACAAAACATAATTTTAGTCAAAGAAAATCATACTAAACCATATATACAACTATTAGTAAACTGAATTATAAAATTAGGCTTCGTTAAATACATAGGTTGTTATCTTCTTTTTTTCAAATATATTACTCAAAGTTAACTGAATATAGGTAGTTTGTTTATTATTATTTATTTAAACACATAAATATTGGTACCAGGAAGCACCAGATAAATATGCGCCTCACAGATCTAATTCGATGTGCATGTAAACTATACTTGCTCCTAGTGCAACGCGTCCACGGGATGAGTTCTTGAGCCTTGGGAAGCAGAACCTGATACAGTTAAGTCCATGGGCTTTACCGAGTGAAGCTTCACCAACCTCAAATGAATGGAACACTGCAACAGAAATGATAATGAAAACACCCATGTATTCGAAACACAGATCGAAGAGACAGAGCGGAGACGTATATTTAAAAGGATACTGAGACTAAATATCAAGAGGAAGACAAAGAGAGTGAATGTATTCGTGCCATTGTGATAGATTTCGAGTAATGTTACCTATAGTCTCCAGTCACTAATGAAAGTTATCTTGTGGACCCCAACCAGGTAGTTTGGATTGATCAACATGACTTAGATCAATAGCCAGTGACTTGGGTACTCCTAGCTTTATTCTAGCGTACCTTTACACCAGTAAACATTGCCTATCGAGACAAGAGGTTATTAGGCATACGTACCACACGCCCTGAAGACTTCAGTCGATGGACATTTACAACTTTATTAGCCAACTTTTTAGTACATTACACTTCAATATCGCCCACTTGATCATTTCATGATACGCTAACAATGCTTTGAAGACACCTATGATGAAACACTTGCAGCTTATGCACGTCTTGTGTCTTCATAGATAACGTTACACAGCCATAAAGTAGGATGGAGAGGACTTCTGTACAGAATATGCATTTTTGATTGGTAGGCAGATATCTTGCTTATACCAAGAATGATGCAAGTCGGTATACGCGAACATAGCAACCTGAATCCGTCCCGACGAAACGTCAGACACCAACTCACCCTGGCTGATGATAATTCCAAGGTAAATCAAGTGGTCAATACACTCAGGTACTTCGCTCCTTATTATTAGTTCAGACTTTGATACAGACCGGTCTTGAAACTACATTTTGTATTTAAAGGAAGAGAATTGAACCTTAAACATGCTATCACTGCAGCTCAAAGCAACCAAAAGACTTCGATTTGTCAGCATCATCAAATAAAACTGTCATCAGTGTATTTAAAGTCAATGAATGAACATCCTAAGAGAAGGGAATTCCCTGGAAAATTAGATGAAAGCTTGTAACTAGGAAGACGTATTACAAAAATAAACAAGAGGGACATTGAAAGACTTGCTGTTCGTCATAAGCTCCAACCCGAAGAATAATGTCTGAGTGGAGCCTTCATGGAGATTGACGTGCTTTTTGGTACGGACCTCCATGGTAAACATTGCCACAGGACCTCCCGGTCAACAGAGCCGGACACTGCCTTAAACCCAATAAACACTACTATAACTGGGCATTGATATGTCTGTGTCCCATAACTTGATGAAGAGCGTATATTTGGTAGCGCCAGATAACTCTATTGATGATCAAAGCAATAGGTACTATAAAGACAGGTGCTAATGAGAGTATGCCAGAAAAGGATGCAACTACTATTCACTCTCAACTTAGATAAGATCGATTAGCAGAACACTATAAAACAGTTCAACTGGCCTTTAGCTATTCTTAAGCTACTGTCTATCCGCAATCAACTTGTATGGGGAGTTGAAGCAAGTCCCCAACTCTTAATGATGTTGAAAAAGGCTGTGGGTGACCTGAAGCGAAGAGAGACGAAGGCTCTGGTGGACTAGCTCCAGAAATGTTTAGGGACGGTGGCCCAGTTTTAGCTGAGAAACTGACTGGGACAATAACTAGAATTTGGGAACTGAACGTAATCCCATCTGGTTGATCTCGATTGATGATCGTTGGAGTTCGTGAGAAAGAGTGGCCTAGCAGAGTGGTCCTAGATCCCAAAAGACAACTACTTAGTTAGTTTCAGATAAGTTAGCTCCATACTTTTAAAGCTTTACCCCAGGAGACGGAAATCAGTGGGATAAGGTGAGCTGTAACATTTTTTAAGGTACACATTTCCGAACCCTCTCATTCAATATGGGAAGGCTACGTTGCTGAAGATGCCAGTTATCTTAAGGAAACACTTCACTGATGTCACATACCACGAATTTGCTGAATTTAGTATTATGGTTCTCCAAACAGCCTATCTGGTACGGTAGGATCCACGGGAAGGAAAATGTCAACCAACATAGCCCGACTAGGCTATTGCGATATGCAAACCGGATCAGCAGATTAAGGTAGTAGCTACAGTCAGTAAACAATGAAAGCGTAATTATGAAGGTATAATGAAATAGAAAATCTAAGAGATAAAACGTGAACACATCTGAACCAATCTGACTGATACCAGGTCATGTCATTCAACGTCTCCAATCACTAATTTTGGCCATCACGAGAACCCTCACCGGGTAGTCTGCATCTGCACCGAAATTCAATAACTTATTTTATTTATTTATTTAAACACATAAATATTGGTACAAAGGGGCACCAGATATATATGCGCCACACAAATCAAATGAGATTTGTGTGAAGGCTGTGGTACTACTCAGGTACCCAAACTGAAACACCTGGTTTTCTTACGGGGCCACACCCGGAGCCTCAGACCTAGAGGTCTGATCCACGAGGCAGTGGAGCAACGTCAAGAGATGCAGTCCCATGGTAGCCGGTGACCAATAATCCGTCCATACACCATTTGTTCCATCAGGATACTGGAGACAGCCCATGTGCACCATTGGTTTAGAATGAGGGTTTTCCAATTACCCTAGGTGAACTTTCCATGTCCACCAACCCAGTTAGAGCGCCGTACACTCGCTTTTGGTCCTCTCAATTTTGTAAAGAACACCTCCGCGACGAGAAGGCAGTGAGTAGGACTTCCCTGGCAGAGGCTATATAAGCGTGGCCATGTGAGAACATTTGGAGAGGGAGAACGGACTCTCTCCACTCTCGGCTGTACCAGGGCATTTGGGAGCTAGATAGTGGCCAGCAGTGGAATCCGGGACGCGCGTTTCATCCTACTTGGGACTCGTGAGCTGAATGTATCTGCACCTCAGAGTTGATGTTCACTCTGGGACTAGAACCCAGTACCTTTCGCTTCAAACGACATCACGTTGTCCCTCAGCTACCAAGTTGATTCCACGATTTCGATATTTCATCATATTATAAACAAACAATTGACAAACAATAAGCTCATGCATATTAAATACAATTTACAACAGAAGAAATCAATTTCTGAACAATCGACTTTCTATATTAACATACGTAATTAGAATATTTTTACAAAAACACAATGTACATAACACTACAATATTGTCTCGGTAGTTAGAAAAATTGATTTGATAAAATACTACGATGACTGACTCCATTGATAATTTGTTCATGAGACAAATCCTCAATTCACAAATAGAACGGATCTTAAAAGTATCCAACTGACTATGTATATATATATATATATATATATATACTATGGAATCAAGGCTGATCATACAAAAAAATACCTAACTGGTATATTATGATCAAGAGTTACTTAACAAATCACAAATAACTAACCAAGGATAAAAAATGATTGTCACAAAGCAACCAATATTCCTTCAACTTTATCCATTGTATCAAGTTCGTTATATAAGGTTATAATATAACCTTGTAATTCCTAGAACCTCTCTTATAATCCTGAAAAGTGTGTTTAATGAATTATTTATGAAATAAACATTTCACCACTACCAGGGTGGTGGTCTACCTTCCATTGACTGACGCTTTCAAATATGAAAATACTAAATCTCCACAAAAACCCCTTCTGATAATGGAAAAGTAAACTATAAGTTGCCTATTTTCTAACTAGTAACAAAATTATATCAACTGTTTACTCTATTAGGAGTGTTAAATGTAATATGATGTGTTTGTTTTTACATTCCTATTTGAAATGAACAGTAATGCAACTGATCATCAGAAAAAATGTCGTCCATGGTCACATATTCAAAGTATGTTTCTCCAAGGAATATTTGAACACCTATTAAGTCCTATTTGTTATGGCAATAATAACTATGAGTTAACTGAAATGCAGAGAAATACATGCTTACTATGTTTCACTTTAGTCTATTATGAAAAAGAAGGGGACACCGAATTTGTAATAACTTACAAAAAAGTTCAAACTATGAGGCCCAGTTTGTCTGAAGACCTATGGATCGGAAGAGAAAGCAGTAACATAATAACAAGTTACTACATATATATTTACATCTCTGACACGAGCATCAGTTGATGACTTTCCCAAAGCGGAAAATAATAATACCTAATAATTCTAAATAACAAAGATCGAAAAAGTTTATTCCGTGGCATCAAGTTCTTCTTCTGTTGCAACGGTAGCCTCGGCTTCTTCTTCATCCACAAGAAAATTATCACTGCTTTCTGCCTCAGCGATTCCGCCTGCAGTCATAGATTCGTTAAAACTTTGAGGTAGCTCACTTGAGGATTGTGTGACAGAATCTTGAGCTCTGTGAGAGTCAAATCTTCCACGTCGATGTAAGATGGAAATAGAGTTTCGATCAAAATTACTATTCTGAGGATCCCGATCAACACGTGTTCGATTGCGTTCACCTTCAAGTGTGAGATCTCTCAATTGTTCATCTACAGTACGACGTAGGTATCTTTCATTCACTGGATGTGTAAAATTTCCAACTCCAGGTACACAACATTGACTATGAACATCGTTCGGTTGACTACAATGGCAAAACTGAAGATAAAAATAAAAAGTACACAAACCTACTTTGAATAATTGTTATGAAAATGACATAAGAATTAATTTGATGAGAACTACAGAATCATTCGTGTAATTATAGTACGTAGGAACTGTATTGCTAAGAGATGAATGAAAAACTCTCTAGAGAGAAAGAACAAGTATAAAGTAACGAAATAAAACACTTTGAAGTGCTTATTCGAGTAATAACAACAGTTGCAAGGTCACTTGAACGTGGTCCTTGAAATAGTAAGTTTTATGAAAGTGGGGATTTGCGAAGATTGTAGTTATTTTAATAGTTGAATTCATAAACCGATCCAAGCTACAGCACCATTCTGATAATAATCATGTCCTCACTAATGACTAGCTTCAAGATGGATCTCCTTAAGCTGTAGTAAGAAATTGTGACCAGTGGAGCCCAATCTGTATTGGGTAGAGACAGTTATCCACCTCAGACAATGGATTAAGGGTTGCGCAAGATCATGGGTCGATTGAAGTTAGGCATTAACATTTTTGGATGCCATTTCAGTGGTCTAGAGACTAAGCATTGGCGCGCGAAACTCAAGGTCCTAGGAACGAGTTGCGCGTGAGGAGTCGCGGACGCTCACTGTTAAGGGGCGAGACAACCGTCCAGTGCTCCCAAGTTTTCAATGGTGTTCTAGCTCCAATAGACCCATGAATTAAACTATAGTGAGTTTTGTTGGTTAAGTATAGTCAGTAAAATAGGTAATGAGACATCTTAGGAAGTATAAATATAGTTACGAAACATTTTAACTGATTGATATTTCGTTTAGTCATTTTTACTGCTATCCAGTAATGGAAGAAAAACAAGCCATACCATTATAAAACCGATTGTTTATTTAGCAATTCTTTGAAGCATTATAAGTATACAATGCCGATGTTAAGTGTAAAACCAGTATACAAAGAAAATACATTAGTTGATAAAACTAACAAACTTCATCAAATAAAGTGGTTTTAACGTGTGTTACACAAGTCCAGTCACGATTAAACCCAGTTGTTCAGTGCTTTAGGAGTTTGATCTTCATCCACTAAGCCACGGGTTTCAATCTTGACTCACCTATTTCAGTTCGGGCAACTGAGTAATATTACTAGCCCTTGTGCTTAAGGTGTTGTCTGATATCAGGTACATGAACGCGTACCTGGTAGATGGATCAATTAGTGAAAATTCTCAATTTTCGCTAAGTGAAGTAGAAAACATTGAAAACTCCAGTTGCCAGACAAAAATTACTTCAGCGGACTGACATCTAGTCAATAAGTCTCCATTTTCACAAAGCATTCAAGTAGGCCACATATGTTTATAGGAATACAGATCATGCTCTAGTGCGAGCACGTATCTGTCTGCGTCTTACTGGACGTAGGAAAGACACTGCAAGGAAACCTCTTAGGGTTCTATTTAGTGATAGGCAAGCTAAGAATATATTTCAGAAACGACTAGAAAAACAGTTAGGCAACCATGTAAGTTGTGCCCATCCCGATGCAACGTGGAATGACATCCGAAAAGCTGTGGAAACAGCAGTAATATCCGCTAGTAAGGTAAACCATAAGGTTAGGGAGAAACAATGGATCTCAGCAGCATCTACCGCACTGATAGATGTTTGAAGACTCATTCCACCTGGCTCTGAACATAACGAAGAGCGGAGTCAGCTTAAGCGCAGGCTAGCAAGAAGCCTACGCAATTATCGCAAACAGTGGTGGATAGCGAAAGCAAGAGAGATGGGAAAGGCAACGGCAATAGGTAACAGCAGACAGCTATTCAGACTTGTTAAATAAGCCGGTATTAGGAACCCAACCATTAGTGAAACTATCTAAAATAAAGATGGACATATCATTCATTCTCAATCCAGAAGATTGGATTGATGGGCAGAACATTTTGGGGATCGTTTCAATTGACCTTCAGCCACATTTCGGTTTCCCACGACCCCCAGTCGACCTGAATGGCAAGTTAATGTAAATCATCCAACTCTTTACGAGGTTGAAAAAGCTATAGAAAATCTGAAGCGAGGGAGAGCAGCAGGCCCTGACAGGTTTACCCCTGAGATTTTTAAGGATGACCGTCCAGTACCAGCAGCAATATTGACTGAGGTCTTAGGTAGAATCTGGGAAATGAACGTAATTCCATCTGACTGGTTCCAATCACCGATTGTGCCAGTCTATACAAAAGGACAGAAGTCCTCTTGTGACAATCACAGAGGGATCAGTTTGACTAATATAGTGTCTAAAATATTAGCTTCAATAATACTTCGACGCGTAACGAAAGCTCGTGAAGAACAGACTAGAGAAAACCAAGCTGGTTTCCGACCTGGACGTGGTTGCATAGACCAGATATTCACCCTATGTCAGGTCCTAGAACATAGACACACATTCAGACGTCCCACAATAGTAGTATTTCTTGACCTTAAGTCGGCACTTGACTCCGTGGATCGTGAGGTTCTATGGCAGTGTTTGTCACTGAAAGAAGTACCAAAGAAGTACATCAACCTTAAAAAGGCTCTCTACTCCAACACAACCGATCGAGTTAGAGCCTATGGCGAACTGTCATCAGAATTGGTTATCTCAAGTGGTGATCGTCAGGGCTGTCCACTCTCGCCATTCTTGTTTAACTTTGTCGTTGACATGCTTCTAGAGATAACACTTTCATCATCTAAATTTAGATCGGTTGAACTTCTACCAGGAGATTCACTTAGTGACTTAGAATATGCCGTTACATAGTTCCATCCGATGAAGACGCTGACGAAATTCAGAGTCTTCTGACCATTTTAAGCAACAATGCAGGCATGTTCGAGATGCGATTCTCCACCTCGAATTGCAAAATGTTACTTCAGGATTGGGTTGCATCGGCACCTGAACTAATGATAGGAAGTGAAGTAGTTGAGCGTGTTGACCGCTTCACTTATCTTAGGAGTCTCATCAGCCCTTGTGGTCTGGTGTGTGACGAAACCTCAGCACGGATACAGAAGGCTCGTCTAGCTTTCACCAACTTGTGTCACTTATGGCGCAGGCGAGATATCCGTCTAGCAACCAAAGGACGGGTTTACTGTGCAGCAGTTTGTTCCGTCCTACTTTATGGTAGTGAAACATGGCCGGTAAGAGTAGAAGATATTCGTAGGCTACTAGTATTCGATCATAGGTATCTTCAAAGTATTGCTCGTATATCCTGGGACCACAGAGTAGTAATGCAGATGTTAGGAAACGGGTACTAGGTAAGAGTGACAAATCGACTGATGAAGTAGTGAAAGTTCATCAGTTGAGATGACTGGGACACGTGTTACGTATGCCCAACCAACCACCGACTGTCCCGATGTGCGATGTTTCATGATAGAGGAGTAGGTTGGGAGAAAGCTAGAGGCGGCCAGACCAAAACGTGGCACAAGTCCATGAAGTCAATGACAAGTGGACTGAGCCATGTTGGTAGGTGTAGACTACCTGGTTGGCATCCGCGAGATGATAACAACCGATGGTTAGAGACCTTGAATGACATGGCTCAAAATCATTGGCAATGGCGAAGGTGCATCCGCTCTTTGTGTCCTGCCAAATTCTAATCTTCTGAATTCTTCATGTCCATTTCTTTTTTCTCTTTCCAAATTTATTTGACTGGATTATGCTCCTTGAGTAACATCTTCAAACCCTAATCTTTCGGATTACTGCTTATACTCTTACTACTTATACCATTATGGGATTTGAATCGACAACTGCATGTCTATGCTAATGTGGTATGGCAACTGGAACTGATGTACGTACGTACGAAGTTCTACGTTGTGACTGATTGACTGAAACTACAGTTACCTCTCAAAGATGTAAGACAAGACCCTACAAAAGACCTATAGATTTTGCAAGACTCAGACTAATATTCTGACGTTTTGATTTAACTCTTTAGTGGAATACTAGCCAGTCTTTTAGGATGATTTAACTTGTTATGAGTTAGAAGAGACTATCAAAAATATTGAGATCCCTAGTCGGAACTCAGTCAGTAGTGTCTTTGTACTTTTAATCCAATAAAACCATATTTTTAGAGTCCTAAATCATCAACGATAGGTGTAATAAGAATGTAAGTAATTAAGGAGAGGGACGAATATTTCTTTGATGACCATTGTTCACAGTAACTGCGAACATTGCTGTACAGCCATACATGAGTACACAAGTCTATATGCTAGTTGCAGAAGTGATTGATTTACCTAACACACTGAAATTAGGTGTTGTGAAAATATTTTGATCAGCAGAACCATCTATTTGTTTGAATTCTACGAGTTCATAGGACAGTTTGTCGTGGAATCTGCGTCATAATGGTTTCCGAAAATTTGGTAACTTAAAGCAGTAAACAGTAAAAGAAGTAGAACTAGTACCCTTACTCGATAGTTAACCGTACAATATGCATATGAAGAGAGCAGCAACGCTTTTAAAGAAAGCGACGGAACAATAATTTAACGATTAGTGACAAGTGGTTTAAAGAGCACCGGCTATTTCAAAGACCGAACACACCCTTTTTAAGGTATTTTGTTCAAAGGAGAATTGACATTCCATTCAACAGCCTTTTCCCCGTGAATATACAAATTAGCATAGGTATCGTGGTTGCGGTTTGTCTCGTACTTACAAGAAAGATGTGCTCATTATATACTTATTACAAAAGGTCGGTGACGATTAAAACGGCAAAACTCGTTAATTTACATAAGATTCCGCAATTTAACCATGCACACACCTGCACAGTTTCGTAAATTACTACTAAAACATTGTGAGGAAAAGATTATCTAGTCGTTTTTAATTCTTTAAACGCAAAGCGAGAAGCGCCAAGGGACTACTTACACACTAATACGAAATGAGTCACAGGAATTAATAACTTACCTTAGAAAGTTGTGCCTCAAATTCTTCAAAACAAGCTTCTACTTCAGCAATTTTCATTCTGTCGTCGCTAGTGTGAGAAGTGCTGGAATCAAAATCAGTGATTCTTGGGGGTTCAATGGGAGGAATGTACAAGACTGTGTTGTAGAGTGGCATCTCGAAGATCAGTCCCAGTTAGACTTATGGTTATTATTGATGTTGCTACTTGCCGAGAGATCCTCAGTAGGGTGATGAGTCAAATTAAGGTAGACCAGATATGCTACACATCCAGTTATTGCAGATAGCCCGAAAGATATTACGACCTTATTCTAGACAAGTAAACATTAAGATTCATATTACTGGTTTGACGAAAAGTTCAAAGTTCAGAAGACGAAACAACGAAGTACTTTGACGACTTTCCCTATGTTTAGTCATACAAATACAACCGATGCTATTACTGTTGATCACAGCGATTATTTAGAAAACCTAGAAATGAACAGAAGTACTGACTCTACTCCCTGAAAACATACAACTGTGTGCTAAGAGCGTATGGTGAAAGCTCCAGGACGGCCTTGAGTGAACCAATCAGAGCTACGGTTGCACTCCTTATATTTTTACCCGATATTAAAAGCACAGTAATTTGGCGGATTAAACTATCCGCTTCTAGTTTTGCTTTCAAGATTAACTTTATCGAAGGCCTGTGGTATTGCTGAGTATCTATTACTTTCCTAAGTAAATGTAAGTGCATTGTGTCCGCTTATTGTGTTATCGGCTCACTTTTTCATCTGTCCTGTTTTTTAGTTCTCATTCAAACTACTCTGCATTCTCCCCTACTACGCAAAGTACCTATTGGCTAGATACGAACAGCTACAGCATGTGCAGTGGCAAATGAATCCCCAAAGTAAATAGTGCTGTAAGTTTTTAGCACTGATGCTGACCTCATCGGTTTTACTAGACGCACCATAACTGTAAGATCCCGGTCACTCGTCTAAACCAGATCATCGTTAGGTATGCCATGCCACACACCCCTTACACCAATAACCAACTTAGATCACATACTTCTCGACGTATCAGCTATCTTCAAAATATTTCTTTGAATGCTTTCGTCCCTGACTTGACTGGATCGGTACCGTTCGGTTATAAAGGTGTTATAGACAAAACGCTGTCAAACCCTGAATATCCGTGATATCTATAGTGACGAACGCAACGTGATCTAGCGCATCAAACGATAAAACGCAAGACTGTTCCTGGTTGTAACATTATATATCATTTTTACGTATAGTGATATTAAAACTGTATCCTCGAATTTTTGGCTCGTTTGTACATTTAACCCTCATTATGGCGAGAGACACTCATACTATCAAAGATCAGAATTTTTACTTCCCTCACCTTTTAACTTATGCTAACCTAGCTTGATAACATAGAAGCCTGGTTATACTACGCAGAAGCTGACGGAGGTTAGACCCAGTTACGATTAGTTGTAGCGTCAGTCCATACTTCTAAACATTGCCCGATAAGTCCTTCAAACAGTACAAAAAAGAACCACGACTACCATGCGTAACCAGCAATGTTGCACGTCATATCACAGCTAAAGAGCAACCTGTATTCTCGAAAGTGGCCTGTTTCTCTCCCAGAAACCCAAGAATGACCAGAAACGAATTCGATCATGCGATAGACCTATGCGTTATCCGGCTATCAAGTAGCCTGTGTGCGTCTCCTCTGTATGTGTCTCCTAAAAAGTAGAGCGACAATTGGCATCCAACAGTGACTATTGAAGACTGACTACAAAAATCACACATCGTTACCACACATCCACGACCTGACAGCTACCCTGAAAGATATAACGTATTCTCGAAATTCGTCTTAAGTAAAACGTGTAACCAAACTTGTACGGCTGTAGAAGACATTCCTAAAACTCCCCTCATAACTTCCTTCGGGAATGCCTCTTGATTTCACAGATGGAAATCAAATTTTTCGGAGATTCGCCGATGACATATCCAGAGGTCTCGAATTCGTGCCCCCTATGTTGATGGCCGCTTAATTACAGGTCCGAACAGAAAATGTAATCTCTGGCATCTGGACTTTGTTTTGCGACTACTCCGAAATTGTGGCATTATTGTAAACATTCAGAAATGTCAGACTGGAACCGACATTTTCAACTTTCTCGGGCATAATACTGATGCTCAAAGTATTCCTCTTCCGCTCAATAAGATGGCGGACATTCTAGATTGTCCAGAACGGACCATATTCCGCACGTTTGACGGACTGATAAGCTTTTATCGACGGTTTAAACCGAATAGCACGTTTCCGATTAAGCCTTTCGTTGGTCAGCTTTGTAGACATGCGAAAGTCATCAACCTGCACTGCAACGAGAAAGCATTTCGCACGGTTGAGGAAATTGTTGCCAAGTCAATTATGCTCGTACATCAAGATATCAAATCACCGTAGACATATCCGCCTTAACAATCGGAAGAGTCTTACAACAGTGGGTAAATAAAACTTACCAACTTTTGGCATCCTTCTCGAGCCTTTTGCAAGGCACCGAACTGTGATGTAACACTATCGCCAGTGAACTCTCAGCTCTGCATCGTGCTGTACGGCACCACCATAAACCTTTCAACTTCTCTCTTAGCTCATCTTCAGACAAGTACTCTTATTGAGTCTGAACAACTGGAATATATTTCGCAATCTACTTCGGGTATGCAACTTTTTTGAAGCACACTATGTAGTTGTAGGCGCTTAATCTCGTATAAATTCTTTGAACACCCAGAAAGCGAAGATCCTGGGCAAAGCGGGTCGCGGAGAGTTTATTACAGGACAAAATTAGAGCCTGGCATAAGGAAAAAGTCTCCTTAAAGTATTCTGATCACAGCTTTTACTCAGCATTTAAAAACAGATGAAACACTAAAGTTTGCAGCGAGAGGTAATGTTTTCAGGCCAAACCAGCAGCTAGAACGCAAGACAACCGCAAATATCCCTACAGTATCCTGAACAGAAGAAAGCCTACAAACTAGGGGATCATTACTTTTAGAGGGTCAAGTAGAAAATATTTCTCTGACTTGAATATGGCAGAGATCTTCAATTCCAACTTCATGGACCAACTAAACCGGGAGCCTGAAAGCACAGGACGTCTCTTGGCTGTGGTGCTGGTTGATAATCTGAAAAATCAACTTCCAGGTTAGTATTAAAGAGACTAAAACCCCTTCAACCTAGAAAGCTATCAGAACGTGACAACATTTGGCATATGATGTTAAGATGGTGCGCGGAAATCATCGGCACACCAGTGTGTCATCTGTCTAGGAGCTCACTGGGTTCACACCAACTCTTAAGAGAATGGAAGCAGGCCACCCCCTCCAGTATTCGAAGGAGGTGGGTTAAGACCTATTTTGTCAAAATGTTGTGTCATGAACTTTCTGCATTATTTGACGCTGTTAGTGGGGTATAGATTGAATTGAAGCATGTTCCGTGCAGGATTGTTGATACTTGTAGAAGACTTTAGAATCTTGTTTTGTGAAATTTATAAGTACACTAACGTTTTCTTATCGTTATCCATTCTGTCATCTGCCCTTGTTATTTGGAATATGGTTATGTTCCTGTTCAAGGGTCTTCTGGTTTGGCGACGTGTGGGGAGTGGCAGTATCTAAAAATACTAAGTAATAGTAATTGAGTGATAATAAGAGAAATCATAACAGACACAAATCACTTACATTCCATCTAAATCAGCTCCCGGCTGTCTTCACAGCGGATGGCCTCGGGTTTGTAACCACTATAAGCTTAGAAACTAGCTCAAACTATATAGAGGGTCAGAAAGAGCAAACGTGACTCTTTACCTTATTCAAATGCAACTCGGTGCACTAGTCCCGGGGTTGTTCCAGGCACTCTTTTAAACGTACGCACGGCCCAACCTTGAAGTCCACGGTGTTGTGGCTCCCCCTATCAGAAGAGATAGAAATCCTTCGGATCAAGTACAAAGACATGCAAACAGATGGGTGGTAGGTTCAAAACACAAATTTCACGAGGACATTTTTTAACACTCAGGACTATTCTCTTTGAGCTACAGGAGAATAAGGGGTGACTTGATAATGGCATGCATATTAATTACGCCGAATCATCCCAACGCGAACTTATCATCGTAAAATCGTCACCACGCTCCTTGAAGCAATGCCCGAAAGATTGCACACTAAACGACAACAGACCAGACACACATGCACCTTTTCCCATTAAAAGTTATCCCTAGCTGGATTCCTCTCCCAACCGAGATGATTAAATCTCGCTCACCTTCCTGAGCCAGCCGAACCTGATACATGTCTGATAAACTACCGCGGTTATCATCCCTGCATTTCAGTGGCTACCTTCTATATCTCTCATTATCATCTCCGATCCCCCTCTTGCTATTTCATTTCCGTCTTTTAAAACACCATTAATTAATTAACTTACTTGTTATCCTCTGAGTAAACGTTTTCTCTTAGCACTCGAATTATCACTTTACAACTTTCTAATTGCAAACAACCAACCTTCTACCTGGTAATGTGATAGCTGCTGATATCCGAAAACCCTACTGCCGTGAGATAAATGGACTCACTTATACTACAAGATAAACAAACCCATGAGTAGTGAAGGAACTGACTAGAATTAGTGCAGTTGAGTGGCTAGGCTACCACTTAATGGACACTCCCGAATATCCGGAATGTTGTCGGAACAAAAAAGGCGAGTGCAAAGAAATCAATAGGTTTGTACAAACTCGTGACAAAGGTAATAGAGACGTTAGTTGAGAAATCAAAGTCTATGAAGTACAATGTAGAAGGGTTTAAGTTAATGCTGAACAACTTTTTTTCACTCTGTTCATCAATCCGCATCAATCCTTGTAAATTAACAACTTCGTCGTTAACGAACAATGACAACTATACGAGCGAAATCAAATGTAACCAAAAGTATAGGAAGTAATTAACCGTCGATGAACTTTTGGGATTATTTTCTTTACTATCTCACACGGTCTTGGTAGGGCTGCGGTCAAAACAGGTAACTATGTATATTGCCAATAACTGCAATCTATTTCTAAGGTGGAAACTAATAAAATTTGTACAAAAACGGGCAATAGTAGTCATTTACAAAGAGAACAATGGACACACACATACCGGACAGTAGCATGGACACAACACAATGAATCGTAATTGTAT